TTTTTTTGGATTTTTGGATTTTTAATATTAATATTATTAATTTGATTATTATAATTATATTCAAGATTTTTAATATTGTTATTATAATAATTTTTAAATTATTGATTTCAATATTATGAATATTTTTTAATTTATTAATTTCAATAATAAAATTATTAATTTTAATATTATGATTATATTTAATTTTTTTCAATTTCAGTATTATAATAATTATTTAATTTTTTAATTTTATTATTATAATAATTGATTGTTTTTTCAATTTCAGCAATATTGAAATTTTTTAAATTTTCAATTTCAGCAATATTGAAATTTTTTAAATTTTCAATTTCACTATAATGATTATTTTGTAAAATTGAAATATTTGCATTATGAATGTTTTTTAAATCTTCAATTTGTTTTTCTAATTGTGTTACAATTTGAGCACATTGAATTAAATCATTATATATTTGTATATCAATAGAAATATAAGTATTAATATTTTGTTGTGGATTCATTTTTTATTAAGAAAAAGTTTTTAATAAAAAAATGTTGTTATTTATTTTATTGACAAGATAATTTAAGTAAATCAGCTTTGTTGACTTTTAAAAAAAGTGGATCAAAAAAAAAAAATCAAAATATTGTTGTATTTATATATTTTTATAATTTATTTTTATTTATTGTTCTAAATTTAATTTCTTGTTAACTTTATTTAGTTAGAAATTTTTTAATTTTAGATTTATTTATATCATTACTATATAAGTATAAATATTGTTTATAACATATCATTTATAAAAATTCTATTTATTTCTATACATTCTTATTATATATAGTAAATGACGCATTTACAAGAATATTAATTATAGAAATATTATATAATAATTTTTTGTCAAAATACTTTTAATTAATAAAATTCTTTTATTTATAAATAAAAATTTTATAAAAATTATATAAATCATTAATAAATTATTTATAATTTTATAATATAAGATTTTTATTTTAATTATATTAGAGCAACAAAGATTCCATGAGATTTATTTAAACTGTCTTGATAATTTCACAAAATTCATTATGTGTCGATCACTATCAGTTGGCCGACATGTCACAGATGATCATTATACATTTGCACACTTATAAAAAAAAAATTGATTTGCATATCAAATTTACTAGTAAAAATTTATAAAACGTATGATTTTTTTTGGATTTATGGATTACTGAAATATCATACATGGTTCTTTTTTAAATATAACATTTCTGTAGTTTTCTGTAAACGGCTATATAAATTTTGTCTATAGTTAAAAACAAAGTTGAAAATAATCTTGAGCCCAAAGTTGATAGTTGAATACGAATTATACTAATACTTTTTATATTCTGCTATATCTTTTACAGATCATTCTGAACACGTTTATTATTGTCTTACTATAAAGAATCAATGCTATAAGTATATGAAGTAACAAGTTTTTGAACTTTTGTTAATTTTAAAGTATTTTTGAATACTTACAAAGAGAAGCACTGTATCTGAATATATTTCACTTTAGATCTACTAATCTTCAAGGCTTTTGAAACATTGTATAGTTAACTCTTTTTATATTGAACCCTTGGTTCTGACCAAAAAAAAAGTTCATTATATAAAATTACTATATTTTTTAAGAGCTATAGCTCTTATTATATCAAATTAATATTAAAATTTAGAAAATTTATGTTCATTATATCCAGGTTCATTATATCCAGAGTTGACTGTATATATGTATATTAATCATATAGGGTATAAATTATGAAGGTCTATCAGTTAGCACCTTATGATATAATTCAAGTACTAGTATTTGTTAATCAATTAATTTCTTTAAGTTTAGTGAAAAATCTTTGAAAGTGATATTTGCATGAAAATTTTTTGAATTCTTTTTATTTTGGTTCTTGTAATATTGAATAATTTGTTTGAACCAGATTCTTATAATTTTAATGCTAAAATTATTATATTTTTTTTATATATACATATCATTTGTTTGACTTTATTTTTGTAATTAATATAATAAAACATTAAATAAAATATGACATCTCAATCATTATTTTTTGAATTAATAAAAGATTAATATAAATTAGAAATAAGTAATTATTATTAAATAAGATATTTTGAAGTAGAAAAACGCATTGTAAAGAGATGAACAAAAAAGGATTTGGAACCCTTGCTTCCTGGAAAAAAAGTCTTCCAAAGTAAAAAAAAGTGAAGTATGAAAGATATATTATCATAGATAACTGATAATAATATCCAGCAAAGGGTTCTTGTAGTGATAGTTTATTACAAGCATGACTTCTACTACATTTTTAAATTATTAACCTGGTTTTACTGATCCTGAAGAAATGCTTATAAAATATTATAATAAAATAAATTAGTTTAAAGAATTTCTATTTTTAATAGCTGATAGATATTATCAATTTATGATAAAGAGATAAATTATAGTGGCAGGTAGATCAAAAAAGAATAAAGCTCAGTTATATTTGTAAATCTTACCTCTTTATAACGATTCTTTTTATAAGTTTTTTTTTTTTGAATTTTTAAAGTAGCCTCGGTAAAATATATATCTTCTTAAAGTTCTTAGCTATTATAACCTTCTTAGCCAGTTTTTATTTGCTCAATTCACGTATTTGAAAATAATCCTGAAAAAGAAGTAAAATTTGTTACTACTTTTGAAATGTCACTTATTTAACAAAATGTTATTCAAAAAAAAACGAATAAACTATAATTTTATAATATAAAAGGTATAAAACATTTTTTTTTTAAAAAATATATTTATTTACTAACGAAAAGATCCAATTTTTGTATAAAAATGTTTGTTAATTATAATATAATTTTAGAAATCTATAGTAGATCAATTTTGTGTGACATGTTAGCCGACTGCTATTGTCGATCACGTGAATTCAGAAATTTTACTCAAATGCACACCTGCACAGGTGCTGCACAGTCGCTGTACGAGTACAATAAGGATACTGTATGAGTGATACACGGGAAGCATATTTCTGCATCCCAAAATAGTAAAAAAAACTCTGCTGATATGCATAGTACAAATGATCATTTAATACTTATTGACATTTCTTATAATCATGTGACCTACGATTTGCTGTTTATCAGCAGTCGCATGAAATGCATCCCCTTAACGTGAAAAATAAAATTCAGAAATTTCACTACATATATGCTATGTACAGTCCCCGTATAAAGTAACACCCGATTTGCACATATAACTATTACAAAAGTAATACGTGTAATATTTACCAATTTTAATATAAAAATCACATTTATTTACTTTTTTGTGATTTATGAACACTGTGTCACTCTATTATATAAAAAATGATAACCCCTCTCGTACCCAGCTCACAAATATAGACAAAGACAAAATTCTTGCTTTTTCAGAGTTTTTGAATGCCACACAGATTGCTTAAAAAGTTGGATAGGATCCAACTACCATATATCGTTTTATTAAAAAATACAAAAAAACAGGAAGCATTAAAAACCTATTGTAATCAAGCAGGCTGCCTGTTCTAAATAATCAAGAAAAATATATACTTATTCAAGAAGTAATGAAAGAATAATGCTTACCATTACATGAAATTATAAGCAAGTTAGAGCTTAAATGCAGTTTGTCAATTGCCAAAAATATACTTCATAATTCTGGGCTTCATTTATATATTGCGGCTCAAAAGCCTTTCATCTTAAAAAAACATGCAAGCGCTCGTGTTAAGTGATGCAAAAAAAACAAAAACATGACTGTTCGTGATTGGGCTAACATTATTTTTTCTGATGAAAGTAATATTGAAATAGACAAGCAGTCACGACAAATAAGAGTTTGGCGATACGAAGGTGAAAGGTTTGAAGAGGATTGTATAGTTTTTACTTTTAAAAATGGACAATGATCGGTTATGGTTTGGGGATGTTTCACAGAAGGGTTAAAAGGTCCTTTAATTTTTTGTAATGAAAATAAAAAAAAAGGTGAAAAAATTAGTACAAGTATTTATGTTAGAATTTTAGATAAAAATTTGTATTCTTTTTTACATGCTATTATAGAAATAAGGGGAAAAAACCTGATTTTTCAACAAGATAATATGCTGATTCACACTGTGAAAATTACGAACAGATGGTTAAAGGCAAAAAAATTAAAACTATAACTTGGCTTGCCAATTCTTCAGATATAAATCCAATAGAGAATATTTGGAAGTTGCTTAAGGATAAAATTCAAAATCATTATAATTTCCCAAAAACAATAGATGAGCTAAAAACTGCATTAAAAGAAGAATGGGAAAACCTTGATATCTCTGTTCTTAATGAAGTTATTGCTTCCATGCCTAGAAGAATAAACATGATGCTAAAGGCAAAGGAGGGAACAACAAAATATTAATATATTGTATATATTAAAATATATATAAAATAAAATTTTTTATTAAAAAAAAAATTGGGCGTTACTTTATGCAGGTACTGTACATATCTGTAGGGTGACGCAAGGTGATGCATTTCATGCGACCGAAAATAGGAAAAAACTCTGCTATAATTCACGTGATCGAAAATAGTGATCGACACGTAACGAATTTCGCAAAATCGCGAGAAATTTTTAATTAAACTTCGCGGAATCAATATTGCTCTAATGTAATTTAAATTAATTTTTTACGTAATAAAAGTATAAATAAATAGTTAATTATATTTAATGTTTTTATAAGTTTTTGTGATAAATTGAATAAGTTTTATTAAATAAAAAAAATTTTTTTTATTAAATAAATAAATTATACATAATAATGAAAATAATAGTAACTATCTTGGCGATTTCGCAAAATTCGTTACGTGTCGATCACCTGGTTAATCATGTGACATGAATACGATAGGCATAATTCGGAAATTTCACCCGACAGCAGAGTTTCAGCTACTATTTTGGGGTGCAGAAAAATGCTCCCCGTGCGTCACTCGTACAGTATTATGCGAAAAATTCTTTACTAAGTTATCTCATATTGACACTGTAGCGCCAGTGGTATCCTACGTCCATATGGTCTCTGCCCTGTGGGCGATGCTTGGAGAAGAGTGTTGTGGCAGGGTGGCCTGGACCTCTTCTCCAGTATACCCAACGATATTAGTATCCTACGTCCCTATGGTCTCTGCCCTTTGGACGATGCTTGGAGAAGAGCGTTGTGGCAGGGTGACCTCCCTGGACCTCTTCTCCAGTATACTATATTGACACTGTAGCACCAGTGGTATCCTACGTCCATATGGTCTCTGCCCTGTGGGCGATGCTTGGAGAAGAGTGTTGTGGCAGGGTGGCCTCCCTGGACCTCTTCTCCAGTATACCCAACGATATTAGTATCCTACGTCCCTATGGTCTCTGCCCTTTGGGCGATGCTTGGAGAAGAGCGTTGTGGCAGGGTGGCCTCCCTGGACCTCTTCTCCAGTATACTATATTGTTGAATGCTATTGTCCTTGGAAAATTTCAGTAATTTTTTGCTTTCATTTGCAATTATCTTCCAAATTACTCATAAAACGTTGTTTTTTTTAGATATGAACTTTAGTCGATATGTTTCAACATTTGCAAGTGACGCTGATTGTAAAGACTGGAATTTCCTAAACTATCTCCGGTACCTGAAAGATTATGCAGAATTTCAATTTACTTCAGACAGCAAACAAGATATCTTAGATGCATTTATTAAAGTCTTTAAGAGAATTGGTGAATATGGTACAAATAGGGAAAAAAGAAAGGCCAAAAAAATTCATGATACTGCCAAAGCGGTCTTCCAAACAAAAGAGATTTCTGAATTTTTTGAAGAGTTAGATAGAGAGTTTAGTGAGGTAAATAATTTATGGCTTCTGCACGAAGCAGGTTCATCATATCCATTGTAAATATTAACCATATTATCCTATAATTTTATAGAGACGTCTTGAAAGATCACTTGAAAATAATGGCGGTGAGCTGTTAACAAATTCTTGTAATTTCCAGACACTGAATCATTCGTTACGTTTCAAAAAAAGAACCGCAGAATTAAAAAGGAAGTATGAAACGGAGGACGAAACATCAGAAACGTCTTGTGAACCAAAGTCATATAAGATCCGATCATCTGAGTCAAACATCTCAACAACATTAGTAGAAAGCGAAGTTATGAGCAGAAGTTCATCCTCAGATCAAACCTATGATTCTCCCTCTGATTTTGAAGGTTCCATAAAAGCAAAGAGGTCATTTTATCTTGATTATTTCATAGGACCTGGTGAAATTGATTGGGAACTAAAGGAAGATTCTACCGTGGTAAATAATAAAAATGTTTTATAGACTATGTAATATATTAATGTAAATTTAACTCTGTATTAACTCTTAACAGTGGGTTATTGGTGAAGTAGATATTTCTAAAATTTGTGTGGAATTCCGTACTTCTGTAATATAGAAATGCAAGTCAAAAGAGATCTTAAGTACCGATGAAGAACTGTACGTATTGTTTGTTTTGGATAGTTGAAGCATTCATGATTAACTTATTTCATCCATAGGGCCCTAAACCATATATTTCTTTTCCAAGAAGAGAATCCGCAAGGACTTTATGAATATTTTGATGATGAATCATGGAAGTGTGTTTTCTCAGAGATTCGTACACAATATCCTTATATTAGTGCTCCAGAACTGTCCTTGATTTGTGTGGAACAATTGTGAAGGTAGAGAGTGAACGTAGAGTTTTTAATGGAATATATGCAGTTTAATTATTTGAGTTATTGTACATTTTCAGATCGCGTCTCAAGAACAAGACCCACAAAGACATCGATCCGAAATTAAGAATTTTCTAAGAAACCATAAGACGGATGGAGAGCTCGAAGAAATAATGCACAATATACTCTTTAATTTGTATGTGTCACTAAGATTACATATTATAATAGAAAACTACAAGTACACATCCTAATACAAGACCTACACATTTTAGAGTTGACCGTTATCAAAAGTTCATTTGTCGAAAATGAGGATACACATTCTCACAACTATGTTGCCCCTGTGATCAAGCCGTTTTTTCCAGAAGGTAAAAAAACGACCATAGACTGGTACATATCCAAAATGAAGTCTGTATAAACATATTTATTTATTTTTCATCATATTTTATATGGGCTTAGGGCAAACAAGACATCAAAATCATCTGCTTAGACAATGAAACAATTCGATCCTATCCTTTCTGGCTCAAACCCCGACTTTACAATAAGAACCATCAATCCTAAAAAATTTGTTAAAGCAGTCTGCTTAATTCTCAAGAATTTATATTAGCTCTGGAAAGGTATTAACTATCCAGCATTAGAGCTTATTTAAATTATATCAAGTATAATTAGGATAGTAATAGATTGCATCTAAGGATTCTAATGATTCTGTGTTCAATTCCATTCGATTTCACTCTTATAGTAAATTTAATAGGTGGATTATAACCCACTTATGTTTTTTATATGTATGTGATTTCAGTTTTTGGGATCATATTTGCATCATAGATAGATTAACATTAATTTATATATCTTAGTCTGTAAAGATGTTTGATATAATCTGTGTATCACATATATACATTAATAAAGTTTTGTATCTAATGCCCTTTTATGATTAAAAAAAAAAGTAATTGGTAAAAAAATTTTCAGAAATCTAAAAAGTGGCTTATTTATTTGTTATTTTTTTTAATTTATTTTTAAAATGTTTTAAAAACATATTATTAATTTATTTAATAAATTTTAAAATTAAATAGATTAATAGACAACTATAGTAGAAAGCCACTTAAGTTAGAAGGAAATAATCTCAGTTGTGATATACTAGAGTTGATAAAATAAAGGAATTTAACAAGATTTATTTATTATAAAGCAAAGAGGCATAATGATTTGGTTTAGGATTGATTGATTTTTATTAAAGAGTTAAAAAAAGTTAGAAATTTTTTTTTGACTAGCTGAAAAAAACAACTATTCTATTTATATATCTTTGAATTATAAGAAAATAATATAAATAATAGTATAAATATACCAGTTCTACCATATCTGCTAGATTTGTTTAATTACTCATATTAGCCATATTTGATAGAAATGTGATATTCATATAATCTGCTATAACTATATAATCTATCCTATATGCTATATATAACTAATATATTGGTTATAAAATATATACTAATTATTGAATTTAAGATGTGCTAATATCATATGAGGCTCAAGCAACTATCTAATCCATTTGAAGAGCACTTTTGCTTAGGAAAGTATGAGCTAACCAAATCTGTATATAGCAGAAATCTGAAATAAGAAAAAGAAAGGCTTTTGAACAAGGCTAATCTTTTCTATAGTAAGACTCTATATATATTTGACAATTACAAGCAAGAAAGCAATTTTTTTTTCCCTTTTTTTTTCCTTCTTTCTTTTCTTCAATACTTTTCCCTACTGATAAATTGTTTTCCCTTTTTCTTGAAGGTTTTTTTTCTAGGCCTTTCTTTCTTTACTTTGTAACTATCTCATTAATCTTCTGGAATATTAATACACTTATTTTGATCAAATATATATCTTATTCAAGCTAAAATCACTTTCATCAAAAATTGTGAACCTCCTAACAAAAACTTTTTCTCTTGCTTAAAAAAGCTTAACTTAAAAAAGGTCATAATAGAATTATTTTGATTAAAAGTTATAAGTATTTTATACAAAAGTAATCAAGAGTACTTTCAATAATCACTAGTCTCTATACTAAAGTCTAAGAATATATAAAGAAATATAAGTGATTATAAAAAGTAAAAATTCTTTAATATAACAGGCCATATACATAAAGTTTTGTATAGTTGAGCTCTAATTCTGTTTGAAAAATTTGATCAGAAATATATATTAGACAAGTGCTTCCATCCTGGATATCTAATATTATTATTATTTTATATACTTAAGAAAAATTTTTATGAAGTTGGTTTTCTTGTTTATTTTTTCAATTTCTTTTTTTTTTTTTTTTTTTTTGGGCTAAGTGCGATACACGCGAGGCTTTTATTAATCATTTATATAGATTACATAGTCAACACATGAACAGTCTAGTTTAACTGACGCTACCTGCCTATTTTCTACCCAAATACCAACTTATACCTCAAGGGTGGGTCCATACTTAGGCTTTTGAGGACATTTCTTAACCAACACATGCTAATTTTCTATAGATCGTCTTGCTTGAATCTCGTCTTCGGCTCACGCAGCTGCAGAAGGGATCTATATATATATGCACTTCCTAGTAAATGCTCCGAAATCTGTCCTTGGTTGGCACACACTACCAAATCTGGGGGCTCGGTTGCTGACCAAGTGGAACGCGACTTCTAAATCTCCCAGTAGACACTCCAAGGGAGCTCGGTTGACTTAAGCTGCCAAATCTAGGGGCATAAATGCCAAGCAGGGCGCAACTCCTACATATAAGAATATGGTCGTATACACTTACACCACACGTTAGTGTCCACATCGATGATCCCACCAAGATTCCCTACTTCTGTATTAGCATGCTGTGTTCTATTTCTTAACCAGGAATGTTATAAGGGGAAGTGAAAGGGGGAACTGGGGGTAGTACCTATTGCGGCGAATAGAACTCTGTAAAGGCAGCCATCTTGACAGGAAGAGACACCAGGTACCACAGGGAAACGATCACCAAACCATCTTATTCGAAAGCGGACACCTCGTCACCTTTTTCGTCTTTTTTCTTCAAATGATCATCGTAACACCAGCCGGATGATCGTCACACCGCATCACCTTATCTGGAGATCACAATCTTGACGCCCACCGGATCGGCGTGTGAACTGGCTTCTCACAAGAAACGGCACATAAATGGTTAGTGCCAGATACCATGTTAATTCTGTTCAATTGCCTTCACATGGAATTGAACCGGTATCTTGTGATCTGACCTGTGGAGCACTAACCACTGTGCTATAGACCCACAGGTCTAAAACTTATATTATAAATTATTAAATCAATTATAAACTAATGATTAATTAGAAAAATATTCTTTAATATTTAATTTGATATTGAATTATTTAAAAACTTCTTAAAATTATTATGAATCAATATTTGTTATTTAAAAATTTGTTAGTTTTTTTATATCTAAGAATTTATTATATTTTATTTAAATACAAATCCAATTTAAATAAAAATTCAAATTTAAATACTTTTGTTAAAAAAAAATAAGTTTATAGTATTATTTTTATATTCATATATATAGTAATTACAAAAAAAATCAATAATTTTTTTTCATTTGTAAAAAATCATAAAATTTTTTATTAAATTAATATTAATATAAATTAAAAATAAATTTATTAGTATTTTAAAATAATAATAATATTTTTTTAATATTAATAGAATTATACAGTATATAATTTTTTTAAAATTTTTTTAAAATTATTTTTTATCAAGTTCAAATATTAAGAAGTTAATAAATTAAAAACCTTATTAATTATTTAAATAAAAATTATAAAAAGACTTTATAACTCTACAAAATTTTAAATTAAAAATAAAATATATTTTTTAAATTTTTTTAAATTTTTAATCTTATATAAAAAATATTATATAGTTATTATTTTATTATTTTTATAAATATTTTTGTAAAATTTTTTTATAGAATAATTATAATTTTTAATTATATATAAATATTTTAATATAATAAAAATTTAAAAAATTAAAAAATTATTAATTAAAAAATTATAGTATAATTTAATTAACTTATATTTTTTAAAATTTAAATCAATTCAAATTTTTTTAAATTATTTTTTTAATTAAAATTTTATAACATTATAAAAAATAATTTATTATATATATAATTAAAAAAAATATTATATAGATGATTTGTAAGTATTGATTCTATTGAAAGCTTTAGATCTTAATCTACAGTGGATTGCCAAAAGTTTATGGACACTTTTATTTTTTTAATTGTACAATATTTATTTTAATAATTATAATTAATTTTTTTATAAAAATGTAATTACATATTTATTTAATATTTCTAATTAAAAAAATTTTTTTAATAAAAATAAAAATAAACTTTTTTATTTATCTTATATTTTTCTCTCTAAATTTCGCATAATCGCTAATATGAGCATAAGAAAAGAATTAATACTCAAACAAAAATTGATTATAATTTATGATTTTCAAAGAAAAGATTCATATCGCACTATTGCAGCTCATGTCGAATATAAAAAATCAGTTGTGAGTAACATTATAAACAAGTTTATTAAAACTGGATCTATGAAACTATGACTCTGAACTGGACGATCACAAATCTTCAACGATCGTGTCCATATCACTCTTAAAAAACTTGTCACTAATAAAAAAAATCAGTTTTTGTACAATGCAGAATTAACAAACCTTTTTATATCAAAAACAAAAATTAAAGTATCTGAAAAGATGATTTATCAAACTTTATATCATAAGAAGTTAAAATCTTATGTTGTCTGTTCTAAACTACTTGTTTCTGAAAAGAATATTGAAAAAAGGCTTACCTGATGTCTTGAGTGTAAAGATTGATTTATTTATAACTTCAAGAAGGTAATCTGAAATGACGAATCGACATTCTCTCAATTTCAACAAGGAAGCAAAAGTTGTATATGGCATACTTCATATGAGGAGTGGGACGTTGACTGTCTTTCTGCTACGATTAGCCATAGCTCAAGTCAAATGCATTGGGGTGTTTCTCATGATTCAGCA